GGCCCTCTCCCTGGTCTCCAGCAGACCAGGGAGAGGAAGCAAAGCAGCGGAACACGCGGGCAGTGGACATCCCAGACGCGTCTGGGCTGTCCGCTGCCCATGTGTTCCCCCGCTTTGCTCCCCGTCCCCCTGGTCTGCAGACCAGAGGGACAGGGAGCAAAGCAGAACAAAGCTGCAGAGCACGCGGGCAGCGGACAGCCCAGATGCCTCTGGGCTGCCCGCGTGTTCCACCGCTTTGCTTCCTCTCCCTGGTCTGCTGGAGACCAGGGAGAGGGAGGGCCCCGTTCGTAACTGCGGATCCGACGTAAGTCGGATCTGCGTAACTCGGGGACTGCCTGTATTCACATCCCAGAAAAGCTTTTTTTTTTTTTTTTTTTTTATAAAAGAGTGAGAGTTGACTCTAAAGCTACTCCAGCAGCCAACAGAAGAACACCTCTGTGTCAACTTGGGAGCTAATTACTCATTATTATCTGCCCTCAGGCACTATAAGTACCCTGCACTGGATGTTAAATTACACTCCAGACACCTTACCACAGACTTCAGTGTTAAGATATTAGTCCAATCATTCCTTTTCTTCCCCGGGTATAAAAGTAGCTAGAACTCCAGATACTGTGAGAACTTTATGTGCTCTGCCACTACCTGCAGATTCTTGCTGAACTTTGAACTTTTGAATTTTGTCCTGCTCAGATACTAAACTTTTCAGGTGTGGCAATTTCAGTTAGTGCAAGAAAGAAACTGCACAAAAGTTGACCTAGTTCTAAGACTGCATGAGCAAGCTTCCCTCCTCCCCTCCCCCCAAAACACACTCAGATCTTGCACAGATTTTGCATTTATATAAAAGCTGAAGCACAGGAGTAGAACTTTTTTTCCCTCAGAAATGTTTAAAAAGACTTCTGACTCTTTTCCCCCTCCACTGCATACAAACATATCCTAGCTAGATCAAGATAGCCATCACATATGCATTTGGGTAACAGTGTATGATTTTGAAGTCAATGTATAAGAAAACAGAAAAGTTCATAATAAAAGTAGCTATCCAAGAGGACAGAGCCTTTTCTTACCCTTCAATGTAGGATTGCTTTGTTCATCCAGGGAGGCTCCCAGAGGTGTTCTGAAACCACAGAACAGATGCTAGTTTAAAACGATGCCTCTTCATGGCCTTCCTTAAGTGCTGTAACAAGCTTGTGGTAGCAGCAGTTGTGCCTCCTTTTGCCTTCCTCCCTGAGAAAGTCTGCACAAATGCCTAGAATATGTCAAGTCCTTTGCTAGCTCAGTTGCTTGATCAAATTCTTTAGCTTTTGTTTTAATACAGATGTAATCATTATTTCAAGAATAGAAGGAGGCTTGTTAAAGGGGCCAATCCTGCAGTAGTATAAGTCACAAGCAAAACGTCCACTGACAACAGGATTGGGCCTTAATGGAGTTACTCTTCTTGTATAAACTAATTCACTGCATAAGCTCTTTAAACATAGCAAATATTAATTAACAGCTTCCACCAATGTAGACTAAATGATAGTTAACAATAACCTGTGATGTGGTAAAGTAGCTTGGTACAAACCCAAGACACAAATTAAAATATAATTAAGGGACAAATCAGATGAATAAAGTGTTTACATCATAAATACTTCATAATGGGCATCTGAAGATTTTCATTAGACAAACAAGAGAAAATTGACTGAAGTTACCCTGACAAACAGAGACATGAGAGTATTTGTTTGGATTCCAAAATTAAATTCTGGAATGAAAAGCTTGTATGTTTCCTTTCAGACCCTTTATTTTACAGTGCAAATTGTTGCTCTGGAACAGTTTACCATTGCTACACATTACCCTTTGATATGGAATCATCCACGAACTTTTGACAATTACTCTTTAGAAATAACTTGTTACACTGACATACCAATTAAAATAGTGACTCTGAGTAATATTCACTCAGGTAGGTGATCAAACAAGCTTTTAGTAACTCAAATCTCCTGGAATTTTGAGTCTCTCATGGGAGCAAATAGGGTTTTTAGGGGCAAGGGTTTTTTTTTTTAAATCTATTCAAGTTACAGTAAGTCTTATGTTCTGAATTAACAACCATGCCTATTGTTTATATCCCAGTTTTAATGGCTACATTTCTATTCTTCTCCCTCTCTCCCCCTTCTCCCCCCCCCCCCCCCCGCCAGCCACTTCAGCATGTCTTGCTTTTTAGCTAGACAAAGTTGCTGGCAGCAACTTCCTTAGCTGACGCCAGTAGTGCATGCACTGGCTGGCAAAAAATGGTAAAAAGCAAGCAGTGAAACTGGCATTCTCCCTCAAAAGCTAAGCTTGTCACCTCTGCAGCTTGCTAACAGCTACTAGAAAAGAAGCTTTGGCAAGCAATCTGT